GGAAGCTTATCGAGGAGAGAAGTATGATGAAAGAAATGACTTAATGAAAAGATGAACAATAGAACAAGAAGCCGAATGCAGTGTACATTGCACTGAATAAAGAAGTGAAAAAGAGCGCCAGAAAAGACAGACTCCTATTCAACGATACACTAGCAATACAAGCCGCAGGCAAAAGAGACATCAGGACACTATATCAGATAATCAAATCGCTATCCAGGAAGAGATCGACCCAGATGATGAAATTAATAAAAGATGCCTAAGGGAATCTGGTCATCAAGGAGGAGAAACAAATTTAACAATGGGCTGACCACTTTAAACGGACTAACTCTTTAATCGACCACCAGCGGAAACTCGCCCAGCAATACCATCAACACCACACATATAAATGCCAGTGGACACCACTCCTTCAACGAAAGAAGAAGTCCTGAATGCGATCAAGCAAGTGAATTTCAGGAAGGCAGCAGGACAATACGACATTCCTCCCGAATCACTCAAGAAGGCCTAAGAGACTACAGCAGATGTCCTCACTCCAATACTGCAAATAGTTTAGAAAGAAGGAAAGGTGCCTACTAACTACAAGAAGGGCTACCTCGTCAAACAGCCAAAGACAGGTGACTAACGCCTCACTCTGCAAGAACTGATGTGGAATAATGCTTTTGTCCACACCAAGTAAAATACTAAGTCATATCATCCTGGAGAGAATAAAAGATGCACTGAATACAGAACTCCGCCCACCATCCAGAACAGGCTGGATTCAGGAAAGGTAAATCATGTGCTGATTGAATTGGAACTCTTCACGTCGTCATCGAACAAAGCATAGGACGGTGGTCAAACCGCACTCTACATCAACTTCATCGACTTTGAAAAGGCCTTCAATAGCGGTGACCGAGAGGTAATTTGGAAATTACGTCAACACTACGGCGTAACTCAAGTGTTTGTCAACCTCATTCGACAGCTGGCCATATGACAATGCCACGTGTTTAGTGATGCATAACGGAAACTCAGCGAGGTGTTCGAAATGCAGTCAGGAAGAGGAAAAGCTGGATTCTTGTTATCACCAATGGTATTCTTAATTGTGGTGGGCTGGATTATGAATTAGACTGTGCATGAGAGTGAAAGAGTAAACAGAAATATGTTGAAACAACATTAAGAAGACTCTAGAAGATCAGGATTTCGCAGGTGATATATGACTAATGTAACATGAACTCGCAGGTTAACAGGCGAAAATCAACAAACTGTCAGGCAGCGAAAACACGACTGCGGGTGAACACAGAGAAAACGGAGGTTATGAAGATAACCAGAGAACAGCAACACCAACCAGCACCAATCATCATCAATAGGATATTTGTAACAGAGGTAGCCTCATTCATTTATCTGGGAAGCATTGTTTTAACAGCAGGCCAGGGGAGCGAACGAAGATATTAAGGTCAGAATCGGAAAGGCAAGATACGCCTTCATCAACCTGAATCCAGTTTGAAAATGTTCTGTAGTCAGCATAAGAAAAAAAAGATTCATATTTTGAACACCAGTGTGAAGTCAGTCCTTCTATACGCGCTAAACACCTGGCTGGAGTGTCACGAAAAATACTTCCAGCAGGTTGCAGACTTTAACCAACAGCTGCCTTCGCTACACACTTAAGATCAAATGGATTGTCAGAAAGAATAGGCAACTAAGAAAATGCAAAGAATAAGCAACTATGGGAACAAACCACCCAAGAGCTGATTAAGCAACAAATATAAAGGAGAAAGTGGATAATGGATCAGGCATATATTGACGAGACCATCAGATGACATCGCGCGCCAGGTCAGTGCTATAGTGGAATCCAAATAGGAAGCGATGAGTGAGTCGTCTTTGGGTGACGTATATGAGATCGTTTAGAGGAGAGATGAGAGAGTTTGATCAATCATGAACTCAGCGGAAAACACAAAATAGTGGGAATGTGTCGTTGAAGTCCTGTTATTCATTCAAAACACAAGCTAATTATAAATAATTTAATAAATAATAAAAAGGAAATTGCACATGGATGAGCGTAAATAATGGTCATCAAATGTGGTGGTTCTCATGACTCACTGGCCTGCATGAAATTTCACCCAAAACAACGCATCATACTTTGTCTAATTCTTATTGTCTTAACCAATCACTGATGTCGTGGATCCGCAGAACTCTCTTACGCATATTTTTAGTTGACTTTCTAACTGCCGGTGGGCCTTTCGCGGACACGAAAAAAATTTTAACTTAAGGAATTATCTTATTCTTTAGTTGTAACGGCAATGCATGACGTGCTACTGAGTGTACCAACATTTACTTCAAGCAACGTAAACCTACTCTCAGTCTCAACATCTTACGCGTTTCCGTGTGAACAATCATTACATGAACCATCGGGAAAAATTCTTTTACGGAGAATTCATACAAAATAAGAGAAAAGTAAGTTCTGAATTGTAAATCAAATTGCTCATTCTCAATGAGAAATAAGCGTGCGTAGTATACAACGATATAAATCTATCCAATGATGATAACTAATCACATATAATTCTAAATAAAACTGACTCTGATCCTGTGGAATATTTATATAATGTATGACACCGGGCATCGTGTGTGTGTGTGTGTGAAATCGTGTGAAGAGGAGCTGAAACAGTATGGACTAACATGGATGCAGGTGAAAAGTACAGCTGAAGACAGAAACAAGTGGAGGCGTGCAGTTACCGACCTATGTTCCACTAGGAACCCAATGGAACGATAATAATAATATTAATAATCACACCGGGCAAATGAGTACGTCTCAGTAAATGAAACTATTTGAGAACCAGCAACACCAGTGGAATTTACCGTGACAGCGGTTGGTTATTCTGAAGCAACTTCACGCACATTGACCTTATACCGCATCACTCAGTCACACCCTCAAATAGAACACAAACAACATCTGTGCCTGTATATGCAAAGAAACAATTGACAAAATCATCAACATCAGATGTCTTCACTGTGATTCATAGTGCCGATCGGTGAGTGAAAGATAGATGTAGTGCTAAGAAAATCTCATCAAGGCTGCGAAGAATGTTGTTGAAACACAAAACATCAGAGATTTCTTTCGATATTGTCAACATTGGCACAATTGGAAATCAAAATACAGAGATATTTCATAAACTCAGAGTCGAGAGAACGTTATATCAGCAAATAAAGCCGATTGATCGAACCTAAAATTCATCACTAAATCAAAACAGAATGATAAACAGTAAACCATAATAGCATACAATGAAATAAAATATACACCACTGCACTGTCACAAAAGATTCAATCTAATTAGATATTTAAATGCATGCAGGAGTGTAAAATTCGAACGAGATCAGGGTTTTGTTACTGCTACTTCAGTAGAAACAGTGAAGTCGATATTGGTTGATGCATACTGCTGGATGGATCATGGAGGCTGTGCTGGTGGATTTACAGGAGTGGAGAGAGCGAGTGTTCTGTGAATAATGAACTCACTCACTAAATTATGCCTGTCATCTCGCAATGAAATTTATACTTTTACGGCAGATTTTGATTCTGTTATGTTAGTGGTCATCACGCATGTACATGCGTTGATCTAGAGCATTGTCCTCGTTCTAACAATCATTCCAATCTATGTGACACCCATAGAACCCCATACCATCTCTGCCAGGGGAGATTGAACCCAGGATCTTCAGGTTGACGATAGGGCTAATCAATAACCTTTGTGTTTGATTTCAGTAACATTTAGCTTGAAATTCCTGCCAATGTACACTATCATTGTTAGAAGATTGTTGGCAAATTTCCAATTTGGTTTTAGAGCGACTAGGGTCTTACTTGCAATTTCGATTGTGATTGTGACATTCTTATCCATATTAACTTACATTAGTTGGTAAGATGTCGCCGACATAAGTGAAGGAAGTAAGCACTTTCACTTGTGGTTTCCACTTTATAAACACAAATTTTCTGGTGTAATTGTGTTCTCGATCTTGGTAGTAGAGCAGCCACGTTTTCATATTGTGCTCAGTACTCAATATTTAGTCTTGGAAGACAATCGATAGCTTAGCAATTACACCACATAGCTAGGTAACCATAACTATGACACTTTCACTCAATTAGGACGCCGATCTTATCTATCACAGAGAAACCAATCACCTCGTTAACAGTCATTAATTAACTTCATTTTGCTCAACCTCGTCTTCTTCTCCTTCTTCTCCTTCCACTTCTTGTTCGTATCCGTCTCAATCTGCAAACATTCACATATCCACTCACAACCGTCACACTATACTCAAAATCCCTCACAATCCTGTCTTACTTGCTGGTCCTCACGTGAATTCCACTGTCTCCAACATCGATCGGTTTGAATGAGTCGATGATCGACGGGCTCACTGAATCAACGACTCACTCGCTGATTGGCATTGCTAGCATTCGGTGTCGACTGTGCGTTGGATGGAGAAGGGATTCCAGCTGAACATGCGTGCGTGTTTGTTGTTGACGGATTCTTGTGAGAAATGGTGAGGTGGACGCCTGTACGGTGATTGGTGTATGTGTGGTTGTATGTGTGAGTGTGCGTGTGCGTGTGTCAAGGAATGTGTTGAGTCATATGCAGGTGTGTTATTTGTGGTGATATGGATTGAGTGGATGATGTGTGTTCGTGGGTCGACTGGATGGAGATGTGACACAGTGAGTTGCGTGGCGACTGTGTGTCATAAGGAGTGAAATTGTGACTGTCATTTGGTTGGTGGTTCCGTCGGTCTGTTGGTCGATCACAAACAACACATGCTCACTGAAAGTGCAATTTATTCACCTGGATCCTACCACATGACCACCGGATAAACAGAGAAATACAAACATACAGACCGACGCTCAGACAGACAGACAGACACACATGCAGAGAGACAGACACACTGACTCACTGCCAGCCAGCCAGCCACCCACCCACCTACACACACTGACCCTCTTCAGTCTCATGGACAACAGAAATGTGGACGACAACTATGTAGAGACATTCACTCACTTGTCGAACTGGAAGTCTCTTCTCCAACCGCTTCACTGGTCATCACTTCTGAAAGGGAGAAACCAATCACCTCGTTAACAGTCATTAATTACCTTAATTTCGCTCAACCTCGTCTTCCTCTCTTTTCTCTGCTTTTTCTTCTGCTTTTTTTGTTTCTGGGAATTTTCCTAGCTGAATATTCCTTCCGAGCCCTCTCTTTAAGCATTGCTTTTAAATTTCTCCTTGTTTTTTCCTTTTCATTTTTTTACGGACTAATTTTGTTGCATTTTATTATCTATTCTTTTTTACCTTTTTTATTTTCCTCTCAGCATTATCCATGTCTTCTGCTCATTCTTTCAGCGGCCCGCTGTACACAGTGCTTTTACAGAATCCTCAATACTTTTAATCTCCTCACGCTTAGCTGAAATATCCCAATGTGTTAATTTGTCGTTCCTGGCTTGTATATAACTAGCAAATTAGCCTCAATTGGGGAGGAGATGAAAAGATATATTAATGAATTACTGTCATTATGCCGAATGTGATGTAATTGGAGTCGAATTACGAAATTTTCAATGAGAGAGTCAGTCATCTACTCTGGTCACCCAGAAGGCATCCATAATCCATTCGATGAGATTAAAATCGTGTTGAGAGACATGAACGCCAAACTGGGACCAGACAACTCAGGAAGAGATCTCATTATGCCTAATTAAGCCATAGGAGAGATGAATGTAAATTGAGATTTCTTCGTTGACTTTTGCGCCTTCAGTGAACTAGTGAGTGGTGGCTGAGTACAAAAATACAAAGATATCCACAAAGCTTCAAAAAAGTCACCAGACGGACGAACCAGAAAGCAATCTGACTTCATCTCAGTGTTCGCTCAAGAAAGTCGAGACGCAGCTGACTGGACAAAAACGTGAGAAGAGAAGCAGACTTCCACTTAGACCAATATCTCGTTTGAGGAACACTTCAAGTCAAATTGAAAGCCTTCAAGGAATACAGGAGATGCAGATAGACCACAAGCCAAGTTCAATAATCGAAAAATGAAGGATCAGGCTGCAAAGGACATATTCACTGATAACGTGAGGAAAAAGAGCGGAGACATTAATTAACACTGTTGAAGTGACCGGCGTTGAAAAGCACTGGAACAGCCTGCAAGAGCTGTAGAGTAATACCTGCATGGAAGTTCTTGGCAGAAAGAGGAGACCGAACAAACAGTGGCCCTCTATGGACACATGGAGACCAATGGAAGGAAGAAGGATGTTGAGATGAAGGATTATTCAGTGCATCAACAAGCAACAAAACAGAAATTGAATGCAGGCTACAATACTTCAACAAAAGATTAAAGAAGAGTACCAGGGAAAACAAGAGAAATTAGTATGAAGCTTTGGGAAGTAATGCAGAACAAGCTGCAGTGAAGGCAAAGGAGACCTCACAACACTATTCCGAATAATCAGGTTCCTATCGACGAAAATCACGACACAAATTAGGCCAGTGAAGGATGACAATGGAAAGTCAATCATCAAAGAGGTGGAGCAAAGGAAAGACTGGGCCGAACACTTGAAAAGACTTCCTAATCCGCCGGCACTTACAACACGCCCAATAATACCGACAGCGGTAGCAGAACTACCAGAGGACATACTTCCTTCGTTGAGAACATAACTCCCACTCAAAACTCGAAGTCACACTATCCTGAATAGAATAAAACACATCAACCTAGATGAAAAACTTTGACCGAGACAGGCTGGATCAGGAGGCGGAAGTCATGCATCGATCAAAACACAAGACTACGGATCATCGTTGAACAGAGCTTGGAATAGCGGTCACATCTCTGTCTCACTGAACTTACTTTTCTTTGAAAAGACCTTCAGCATATAGCGTCGATTGAGAGGTTATTTGCAACTAATTCGCTACTGCCAAGAAGTGCCGCCGACATATATACATCTCATCCAACAGTTGAACGACAATGCTGCATGCCAAGTAGTCCACAAAGTGAAACTCATGGAATCTTTCGAGGTGTGGACAGCAGTAAGACAATGCTGGCTGTCTGCCTACTATCTGCAATAAGTTTCCTGATTGCGGGCGTTAGACTGGATAATGCGACAGTTAGCAATGATACAACAGTCGAATAACGGACCACAAAAAACAACTTGGAGGATCTGGACTTCGCTGAATATATATGTCTGATTTCGCACAAACTGGAAGATATGCAAGTGAAAAGTAAAAAGTTGTCAGAAGATGCATCTAAGACAGACTTCATGTGAACACAGAGAAGACAGGCATTGATGATGAAGATTCCTGGTCAACAGCAACAACAACAGACAGCAAACAGCAAAAATGGAAGGAATCTGAAAGTAGCGACCTCCTTCACCTACCCAACCTACCTGGGAAGCAAAGTTTCAACAATAGGCGGATGGAACTGATGAGGATATCAAAGTTCAAGGATCAGAAATCAAGGCAAGCTCCCATCACTCTCAAGTCTATGTGGAAGTCAACAGCCATTCTCAGCATGTAAATGAAAAAAAGCGTGAAATTTCAACAAATGAACCAGCCCAAAAGTAACCGATTGTGCAAAAAATATGAAGGAAGAAATGGAGGTGGACTGACCACGCTTTAACAAAAAAACCATCAGCCCTTTGCTCCTCTAGGAATTGAAGGAAGCAATAAAAATAATGCGATGAGCTAAGTCTGCGTTCAGATCGATGAAGAGGAAGGGAAGTCTCGGAATAGGCGTAGCACCTTCACTCACTCAAAATACACACCACTGTTACTGCCATTTCGAAAATCCAGCTGAGATACCTATGTTCAGGTAGGAATGTGAAGGAATAAAATAAGACATAAAGAAGAAGAAGAAGAGCAGTTCGATTCAGCTTTGGCATAGCTGGTGGCATGTCGACTGTGTGGCATCACCTATGGATTTTTGGTGCTCACAATATTCGCCTGCTTCACGACACTCGAGATTCTTGTTCAAAAATCTACTGCATGAAAACTGGACAACAAGACAGCCAGAAATACAATAACAGTCTCTCGTCTGCATTACAAAAGCAATGTATGGGAGAGATATTGACACTCACCTGTCGAAATGGAATCATCTTCACCAACATCCCTGTTGATCTGTTCTAAAAGGACGACAAAATTCAAGTTGACAACGGTGATTCAGTTATATTTTCAGGAGCAAGAGGTCTGTTGCCTCAGCATCATGCCAGTCACTATACTGTCAGTAATTCAGATATCTAAGCGTTTAGCTTAGAGTAAGATTTGCCACCATTGTCATATTCTTATCCTTATTCTTCTTTCACCTTACATATTTTCAATCTTACCCGTTCCGTGTGTGGAATTGGTTCTGCTGTACATTTGACTCTGACTTTCATACCTATTTGTCTACAAATCTTTGCTCCGCTGGAGTGATGTATCTAAGAAATATGCCTTCGCTTACAGGATCTCATCGTCCCAACTGACTTCGGTCTGAGTACCACTGAAAAGCTACAAGGAGTACCGAACATCAGTCTGTTGCGTCCTTGTTGTTTATGACTGATCTGCAGTATGCTCCAACCACCAGTGTTCGAATCGGAGGCCAGTCGGTTACGAGACGGTCTTGTAGACCATCAGGACACTGCGTCGCCTTCCAGTGGCCCATGAATTTCAACTTGATGATGAAATCCTGTAACCGATCAAATCCCTGCAAACCAACACTTCACATTTTCATTTCCTTTCATCGCATAAGAATTCATATTCAAGTATTGATTATAATATATGTGTAAATCTTGGGCACTGTGATAGTAAGTAATTCCATATTAGTTTGTTTATTGGATGTATCATACAGTGAAACATTATTATTTACTGGATGATGTTACGATTACACTGCTGCCTTCAGTGACTCCTATAATTACTGTGAATATTTTAGATAATACTCTCTCTCTCTCTATATATATATATATATATTAATATTACGTGTAGGTAGCTTACCCAACTTTGGTAGGGAGAATCTGTTTCCATGTGAGATAGTGAAGATCAATCGATTTTCGGCTTTATTTCTCAGAGAATACTTCTTCTCATCACCCTGTACGATGATCATTTCAAGTGGTCGATCGTCTTGTCCACTGAAGATAACTGTAGCGTCATCTGCACTACAGAAGGTGGATTGTTGTTTCCATATCACATTTCTGATATCTTCTGACTGAAGTTGGATGTTCTTGATCCTCGGAACTGGTGAAACAATTAACGAGAAACGAAATTGACGATTTAGTATTTCGACCAATAAATTCCTACATATTATGGTAAATTGACAGTTGGCATTGGAGGTAATAACGACATTTCAGGGGTCATCTTATTCTTTTCGAAATGTGGTTCCTTTCGACTTATTCACCCCTCTTAGCACACTAGAAATAAGCGTGTAAGGTAGGACTTCACTAGCTGTTTATTTAAATTACTAGTCCTTTCAAGTAGATAGCTAGTCAGACAGCCAGGAATCAGCCGTTCTCAACTTCGTCTAGTGCTTGAGGTGAGTCAAACCAAACACACAGGCGATTAGTTCGAACTCAAATGCGTGAATCGACCGTCTGTTCTTTGGATCACTTCGATTTTGCTGACTATCAAACATTACTGGTGCTGTGAGTGGTGTAAGGTAGTATAAACTGAGCAAACTGACAAAGAAGTAATATATAGCTGAAAGCACCTCTTTCTGTATGAAACAGTCATACTCTCACATTGATGTCAACTATGAAGAGGTATAAATCAGGCGCGATCACGTGGCAAGCAGGTGGTCGAGTTGAACCCGAGTGAAAGGCAATGGACTACATCTTGAGACGCTTAAGCACTCTTCATTACTGACGACTACATCCATGGTTGGAATCAGCTGTCTCAGTGTTTCAGTAGAATTTGACAGTGTGATAAAATTTGGCACAGTGCACGCCAGAGAGTTTTAGTGGCTTCCAAATACGTTTCGGTGAATGATGCGCTGTCGAAGGCGATTTCGAAGTCTAGGATTTTTTAAAAATTCAGGCAGGTTTTCGACTCACATTCTATGATTCGTTCAAAATGACGCAAATCAGTTTTCCATGAAACATTTTAGATGATTTGAAAAGTCGAATAACAGATTCTCAACGAAATGTGATCGGTATCCATGTGTGTGTGTGCAGTTTATAGGAAGTTACAGTGACTTACTCTCTTTTGCTCGGCATTCATCTCTTTCGACTTACCTCTTGAATAACGAACTGGTATACTGAAATCGAAAAATCCGTAACCATGGTGTGCATACCCTGTTATATTATATTCTGATCGTTCGCATGTGAGTGAAGAGAAAGAAATTTGTACCGACTTCGGGTTCGTATTCAGTTCATCGTCGCGGACGATTTTGAAAAAAAATGAATAATCTTTGATAATAGAAGGAAGAAATGGAATCCAAGAAATGCTTAAAAATTTGTCGGTTTCTTGAAGTATCCGAATTTCGTTTCCATCTGTATTTTGTAAATTAAAATAGACAAAATAACAATGAAAATATTAATGATAATGTGTTAGTGGAAGTTGGCAGTTAAGTCAGTGAAGTGATGAGAAGTGTGGACATTGCAGGTTTGATGATGAGTCGACATCAGTTAGAGAGGTGTTGGAAAGCAACAGGGGTAACTGCACAACCATTTGCTTCATCCGCCTACTTGTTTCAAAGTATTCAGCATTGCGCACTTGTTATCAGGTTTCGAGTCATCAACATTTCTTGGCGCAAGCCTAGACCATTCACCCACTGGAATTGCATCGAATGTATTTGAGACGTCAGATACTCGCAGGATACACTGGGATGCCGAAGAAGCCCGAACGACGAAGACGAAGCAGATGGCTGTCCAACACTCCTTGCCACATTCCAGCGATTCTCCAATTGATGTCTATTCACCATCAAACATGTAACCAATAGAATCACTGCTATCGAACAATCAATAAATAAAAACCAAGTGCAGAGTGCTTGAAAATCTACAACTGTGTAACACTCCGTCACTGTGTTGGCATGAGAGTACACATCATTTATGTTTGTTGGCCACATACACACACACACTAACACATACAGTGAGGCAGTATTATTTACTGGATGACTGAGCTTACAACATACCCTGTTACTGGAAATGATCATGTAAATTGGGACCACAGCGATTCGCAAATTTCATTTGCTAGTTCGCTTTGATCCTTCGGAATTCTCACATGGGGTCCTCAACAAGGCGGTAATTAAAGTGTCACTGCACAAACTCAACCTCTCGCAGACACATACCAGTACGCTCGCTTGGAAACAAGTTATGTTGATCACAGGGGCATAGAGGCGGCTCATTAAACAGAGAGCCATTCAGGCCACCTAGTGGCATGAAATGATTTCCAGGTTAAATTTTTAGGTCGAGTTAGTGGAACGAGGTCAGCGGAGCACGAAAGCTTGACAAAATCAAGATTGGTTGATGCTGATAAGAAAGGTAATCAAGAGAATAGCTCAGCTATGACAAACACTGCATCCAATTTCACACAGTCGTACAGTACAGGATGGGATAAGATAACAGTCTAAAAATCTAAAATAGCAGGGTGATAGGCGACATTCATAGCTGCAACTTTATTTGTCGAATCAACTGGAAATGCGTGCAACAGAAATGAATGATTCAACACTAGTTCCACTCGGACATCAGGAAAATCCTACTTATACGAACACACCACTCTGTGGCCAGTCGGATCCTGAAAGCCTTATTTAATGGAACTTTCCAGAAAATACAAATTTACAACAGAATCATGTGATCAATCAATCAATCAGTTCATTAACTCAATATCTAGAAAACATGCACAAACACATTCAAGTAGATGACAATGAAATCGTGGCATTCGCTATTCTCAAAGCATCATACGCTTCAACTGGTCAGAAAATGTCAACAATTAAAGCCATGCAGCGATTCCTCCATAGCGATGAATGCACAAAATCACAATGTTCAAATTCGATGTAACTCGTCAACTTATGTTTTTAACATATTTGCAATTCAACAATGAGATATACGAAGAGATATAGAGAAAGTCGATGGGATCGCACACATCAGGACTAATAGACGAGGTCGTTATGCAAAGACTAGAACTTGATAGCACTACCCATAATCACAATAAGCATCTCGCCACCTTATTCTGATGATACATTCGTGATAATAGGTACACCTACACACTAATCAACATCACATTTGAAGACGTCAAAATTCACACGCAAGAGACGGAGAATCAGACAACGAAATCCCTTTGTCCTTCGATGTCTTAATCTAGAGAACAAATACAGAGAATTCTGAAACACACATATGCAGAATACCAACACACCCACACAAAGACGCGCACACTCACGCATGCTTGCGAGCACACAAAGAACAAACAAGCAAATACAGTAGCGATGATCCAACGACTCACACAATAAGCTGTATGCAGTCCTTGTTTGTAAGAGTTAGAACATACTGCAGCACTCCGGTGCTGACAGAACACAAGAGACTGTCTTCAAGAATAATGAATACTCGTGCTATTTCCTCGAGACATGTCTAAACTCAAATGAAAATTCCAACAAGAAACCATCCTCAACCATCACAAGGAAATTCAAACCAATTCAGATTAAAATTTCTCTGAAATTGCGGCTAGATTACTGAAACCATTTGAAATAGATGTGACACACAATCGAAGTCAATCTTATTCATGCAGTACTGTGTAGATGAAAAGACCAACACAATAGTAGAAGAAGACAACACCGCCAACAACACACCATCCAAAAGGGGATTATACAAACTGTGACGCACAATCCAAGAACAAAACTTCCCTGTCAAAAGACAGGATATGCAATCTTTCATATCGGTGCATGTCGCTAATTATGTTAACCAGTTGAACTCGGAATATCCAGAACCCTAAGAGAGTGGAAACACTGAAGAAATGTCATGGAATGTATATAGGTAGTGTGTTGACACAAATCAGCATCAGTAGAAATATGTGATAGGTTAAGATAATCATAGATGTCAACCAGTGTAAGTCAGTGTATAAGAGGAGTTGAATTTGTTTATTAGAGTAATGTAACAACATGAACAATTTCATGAGTGACTTTTAATCAAGTGGCATATAGAAACGAAGAAACTCATGTGAGAATCCTTAAGAAATACAAGTGTTGTAAGGAGTCAGGGAAAGAAAATATCCACTATCAAGTTGGTAGAGGACAGCAAAATAGTTGTTACTATGATAGTTGAAGTAGTTGAATAAATTCTTTTTCTATGCATAGGCATGGTTTCTCTAATTGAAGGGCTGAAGCATGGCCAGTGAGATAGGGACGAGAAAGTACTGTCATTGGCAGGTTATTTTTCCCTTTGTAGGTAGATGACTGTGAAGGAGACGTCTGTTGAGACGGAATGACAAATGTTGACAAGGTGTTCTATTATCTCACTCGTTACAGAGTCACTGCTGTTTCCATGAAATAATGCTATGAGATAGTCTTCTTCGACGTTTACACCTTAGACGAGATAAGCGTGAAATGACCAATTTACCTATCTCCACAGCAACAACCAAAATCATATATACACACGGAAGTGTTCAGATGTGAGATTTCCTCTTTCAGGATTCTACACGCGTTGCTCAGATGACTGTTGGCAGAAATGATGACATTCCCCTCTGAAGGATATCTCACGTTGTCTCTTTTGAAATTAAGGTTCACGTAGATTATGGTTCGTCTTTGATATTGTTCTGATATTCTTGTCAATCGATATTGGTGAGTGTCCGTTTTGGATGGAGACTTCTTTCAGAAGATCTAGTTCTGCTTATCGCGCATCAGGACTACAGATGCTTTGGATTCCAGTGGCGAGGGATTGAACTCGATTTCTTATTCGTTCAACGGGCAACCAACTATAGAATCTCGCCATTTAGAAAAGATTCAGACTTTTGTCAACACCTGCCTTCATTGGCTTCATCGTGAAGATCAGATGACCTGCTGAGGAGGATTAGCAATGTGCAACGCGTACAGGCCGGAAGTCAACTAACAACCTATTACCTGACAAATATGCAGAAGAAAATGAAGATAGATCAGCCACACTCTGAGGGAAAGTTCATCCACAGTTGCGCTTCATTTTGAGGGTGACTTAATACGACCGCAGATAACAGGATGAAACAGGATGAGGTGTGCCATAAAAACCCTATGTTCCACTCGGAAACTAAGAGAATGACAACAATAAAATTATCAATAATAATAATAATGATCCACCATTAACAGTCAGTAGGACAACGTAAGGACAAAAGTCGAATTGTGAGAAACGAAGAGAGAGTTTCCCAGAGTTTGCAGTAATTTATCCAGATGCCGGTTGACTTTTGTGAAAACATTCAGTGAACAGTCGGTACTAACACGAATGTGGGACAAATGAACTGCAGGATTGAACGAGTGTCTCACCCTTACAGTCCGACCGAATCAGTATGAGGGTTTGAAGATTCACTAAGGCAACCAACGTCACCAGGAGAGACAACTAATAAACTCGTGGAGAACTGTAAATGCTCATTTCACAAACTGATGTGTGCAATCATGGTGTTGCCTAGTAGGGCGACATAAGCTTCACAAGTAAGCCATCCAGCTCTGGGATCACAACTACACCAAAACAATTGAATTTTATAGAAATAATATCATTTCAGGAAAGGGGTATCAGTGGCTTATCTCAAGAATTCTCGCCATCCACGCAAGTGGTCTGGGTTCACGTCCGCATCTGACGGACTACAAACACTCGTTAAAACAGCTGTATGGCCCGTAGATAGAGAAGGTTACACGTGAGGCTAGCAAGTCAATTTGGTCAAAATGAAACCACAAGTAGATGATATTCTTTCACTTGATATCACAGATTTATCTCAATACTGGAAAGAAAACATTTCATTGAATGAATTATTCTGCAATTCAGTATCCTCTTGAGTCAATTGTGTTGACTTTATACTATCGGAGATAAACAGAATGAGACGCTTAGATTATGGATGATGGTCAGCAGTGGAATATGAATTGCGCTTGCATGAATCTTAGGGACTAGGTGTTGCATATCAAAGCGCGAAATTTAAAAAAATCACTTCAATAAAAGCATTCAACGAATATTATTGTTTGGTAAAAGCAAAACAGTAAAATATTCAGATACCACGATCAACTTACTGTCATCTTTATTTTTAGCTAAATATGCCAGTTCATATTCTTCAGAGATTCGTTGTGGCAAGACTGTTACTGCAATGATTAAAAGAAACAATTAGGCAGATACAATTTTTGTGCGTACATGGCACTCTTCAGGATACTGTTATAACGGCGGCGTTTTTACATGAATCCAACCATCTGACTCAATTAATCAGACTCAAACTCTGTCAGCCCATAGACACTACAGAGTCAATAATGGATCTCCAAAATAATGAAGTGAAGACAACTAAGTTCAATTACACATGTTTAACTAGTTGCTGGGAATTAGTCACATTATCAGAAAATATGAGTTTAGGGTTACAGTAAGAATGATTGAACATACTGAGTAAAATAATCCGAATAAATCTGGTTTAGTTTGGGCTATCAATATGATTCACCTCTAGCATATCAGGAGACGTCCATCGGCAATAAAATATCAAATAACAAGGAGATAACTTTGACATCAGAGAAAAAAATGATTCAGCGTTGTGGAGATACATGGATGACGTGAGAGGATCACAAGGAAATATAATATGAAGGCCAGAAATAGCACAACACGGAAGACTTGTGCAAGTGGTGCTTTGAAGATAAGGTGTACATAATTCCTTTGCATAGCGATAACAAATTCCTAATAAACATGACTTCACCAAGTCTCTTGTCTTCTACACTGGAATACAATCGCTCACATCTTATCACACAGTGGGGTTGGTAGAATAAGATAAATGTGTTAGTAAATAATATTAGTGAGTGTAGGGAAAGCGATACACACAGACACGTTATTCTCTGGATCTTTCTTCATCGATTCAACACCAAAACAAAGTGCAGTAGAAATGATTCAACACCTGTTCCGGACAAATGGTAAATTGTAGTAAGAAGTAGCAGTAGGTAAGTCTACATAAACAGATTATCGAATTGTGTGAATACACTGAGATTTGATTGGAAGCAACAGTAATCTGTGCTCGAGGCACCGTCATTCAGTTATCAGTCTTGTGTAAAATAAAGTTATCCGATTTTGAATTGCATTCACTCACAACGCGTCAACTCTACTTTCACATTAACAGCTAATATTTGTATGGAAGAAGAAGGTGATTGAGCACTTGATGACAACAGATAATAAGACAGAATAAACATGAGTATAGCTCAACAGGAATCGCCTATTTGAAACAATGAGTTTTTAGTCTCATTTCATTCTATTCATGGAGAACCAAACTAAGCTTCAAATGCTACACCGCTGACGACAACAACAGTGCGATGAGTGAGACATTCTACTCCTCGTAGTGTACATGGATAGCCTTCACTGAACATGCATTTTAGATTGACTCATGAAACACGTCACCTGTATGCTCACTTTGTGACAGCACTTCACCTTCCAACAATCTGTCTGATCACCCCAACGTATTACACTCAAATTTGTGAGTTCTCAGCAAGTTGGCCGATTGTCAAGCTGAGTTTAATTTTGATAACCCGAAAAAGAATATAAGAACAACATGTCATACTGATGACTATTTGTAATGTTAATTACAGCCCAGAACGTCATTTTTCCTTGTAAGTGTATATTATACTATCAGTGACATTTGCCTCAGACATACTTATCGCTCAGTTTTGTTGAGAAAAGCAAACAGTGCAGATTGTTCTCATGAAGAAAAATCGTACAATTTCCTCGTTGTCTTATAGACTTCCCAACTAACTAACTAACTAGATTTGACAATGGAACACTCAGTGAAGAGAATTTAGTGAAGGTAGGAGTGACATGAGTCTGTTCACTGTCACTGATGATATTCTCAACTGTGGCGGACTTTATTATGACGACGAATTCGGAGAAGTGAGAAGACATGTATAAGTTGAACCGATAAGGGGACTATAGGAGATTTGGACTCAATGACAGATTTATATCTACATTTATGCAAAATTTGAAGCTGTAGATGAAAATTAACAAGTTTGCAGAAGAGTCAGGCAGAGAAGACAAGACTTCGAATGGAATTAGCGAAGATGGAGGTGATGAAGGTAACCAACCGACATCAAAAACAACAACTACCTATGGAATAAGTTTTTGAAATTGGGCAATCGCTACACTGAATTGAGTAGAATCGCTTCAACTACAGATGGAACGGATGAAGATGTATAACAAAGCCAAGCTGGATTGGACAGACAAGACAAGGGTTCATCATCACTCTGAAATCAGTTGGAGAATCCGGTACACTCATCATAGGAAAAGCAAAATTTGGATTTTCAAAACCAATGTCACATGAGTCATTTTATGTGTGTGAGAGGCATGATGTGTCTCCAACAGCATTTCACTGGCTGCATACTGAAGGTTGGATGGATGATCAGAAATAATCGGCAACAAGGAACTTCAGGGACAAGCCAACTAAGAGCCTATTGCTCAACAAATATGACTAAGGAAACTCAGGTTGATCGGATACACACTGGGGAGGCTGTTGAATGACACCATGCGTCAAACCGTTGAGTGGAACTAGAAAGATAAACAAACAGTTGGGAGTACCATGGAGAATATAGTATGAGGAGGAGATTAAAGTTAACAGGCATTCGTACAGCAAGCTAAAGAAAACTACAGTGAACAGGACAGAAGTGGAGATGTCTTGTTTCAGCACCTTCTTCGACTCAGAACCTTAAGGTATAAAATGATAATAATAATATTAATATTAATAATAATATAACCAGCTAGCTAGTGACCACTGAACTCAAATAATAAAAAATGATTTTGAACTTACTCTGTAAGAATATTAGCAGTATGATTCTGTCAAAACCAAACGTCAACATGGTTGATACACCACACACTGTTTAAGAATTGTTTAAGAATTGCAAGTATATACGTATTCATTCTCTGCAAATATTACATCGTCCAATCACTCAATAACTTAAGATGATCATTAACAAAGTCACTGAGTTAACCAGTCAGTCTACCGAAACAAAACAAATCCATACACACATTCCATGATTGGCCTATAAAATACACACAAACAACGACGCTCTATTTGTGTGTCTGTGTCTGTGTTTGTGTGTCTGTGTGTGTATGTTATATCACACTGAAACTGTGTGTGTCAGTTAAGCTGTACTCTCTCCTCTTCTTCTTCTTCTTCGCTTTCCTCTATCGCTTTAAGGATCCTTTGTGTGTGGATGTAAAATCGATAACACGAAGTATGACTCTGTACCAGATTATTGACTGCTTCAAAGACACACATTCACAGACAGAAAATCTATTGTTTAGAGTAATTCTCTGCTTTTCGGTATGAACGACGTCAATCAGTCAGCAGGTTGTGAGCATTTGGTTTTCTTGAAAATGTTTATCGAACGTTGTCTGTGGTCACAAAAACTATTATAGTTTCATTATCATCATTATTATAAATGTCTGTATTACTGTGAAGTTTGAGTGAGATTGGAGTGATCAGTCAAAGGAAGCTAGTGGAACTAGGTGAACATATTGTGACCATATTCACAAAGAAGAAGCGTTGAGGAAAGTATGACAATAATATACAGGATGACTCAACTGAAAAGATGATACATCTGAGAATAACTCCAAGATTTTCATGGTACCACTCGGTTTCAACACGAGTTGGTAGAATATTCGAGTTACTGGAATCCGATTCGATGGTCCATGAAAGACCTGTGTCGGAATTCCTGTTGATGCCTAATGATTGACAGTCTCAAAACCCCAAGAAACGGCTCTTCAGTGGTTCTCGAATTATTGCCACCTCGTGATCGGATCTGTAACTAACTAAATCCCTGCTGTTCAAACGACACTGGAAAATTATCTGATGCTCACCAACTACTGGTCAAAATGTCAGGCGACAAATCAACTACTCGCTGATGAAACTGGCTGGTGGTTGTGCAATATACATCGTGAATTGGCAGAAGCTGGAATTCATCGGCTTGCCATTTAGAACAGTCTCTAGTGACTGAAAAGTATACCAGCTCTCCTCGTAACCAGATGAATCTCAATGGATACCCCGTCGATGCATCAGTTGAAATGGACACTCATTCGAAGACCGTAAAATTCTCGCACAAGATGCTCAGTATCTTAAACGTCATTACAAAATATTCACGAAATTTTTTACTACATAATTGAAGATTGCTTCTAAGAAATCCAGAGCGGTGACTGTGGTCGATTAATTTACCGAACATCTGAGTTATGCGTGCAATCCCAAAACAAAAGATTTATCTAAAGTACAGTATGATACATAAAATAATGAATATGATATACAAACCTCACATTTTGAGGTGTCTCTAGCTGATCCATAGCCAGACTAAGCAGCGCGTAAATGTTCAGGTAAAGAATACAGGGAATTCGAATAAACAAACTCCACAGGGAATTGAAACAAACAACACTTATATCTACGGAATAACAGCACAGTAAACAAATGAAGGCTCAAACTGCCTTCTAGTGATCAGTAGTACAAGGTAGAAGACAAGAGAGATTGTAGCGAAGGATCGGTGTGTAGGCGAGGCACATTAGCGGAGTACTTTATCCCACCTCATGCCACCCGCAGATGCATTATACATAGAGTAGGCATCAGACTGCACACTCGAGTGGTAGACATCATCTCACATGAATAAGACCGATCAGCTATATCCGTCTACTACTTTTAATAACATTTAGCAGTTCAAAAGATTTTAGACAAACATCTATTTTATTACCGTTCCGACCACTGACATGAAACCGTTTCCTTCATATACCACATGAAGTGCAAACTTTCGTGGCGATGGAATGGAATCACAAAATGATGGAACGATGACTCGAAACATAAGACTTTCCAGCAACAACATGAGTTGCGACATGAATAACTCATGAGTCTTCCAGTTCACTACACAGGACACGATAAAGTCATGAAACACAAATACCTTTTTTAGTCCTCAGACATCGTGAAATGGTACGTAATAGTTTCGCAGCAGTCAAAAGAGGTCGAACATTTCAGTTCACTCAATTAACGCCAAATCTGATCTGACTTGAACTAATAGCTACTTCACTTGCTTCATTGTACACTCAAAATTGAATTCCTCTAATGACTAGTTTGCTATCCAGTAAATTTGTGAAATAAGGAAGCACCTGATGACAACTAAGGAAGAAATTTCTATTCATTAGCAAGATAAGAAAATACTCACCAGCTGTGTTCACGTCACTCTAACAAGGCCTGAATTCAAATAAAAGCTGACTGACTTCCTATTTCTCGTGTGAACGACTGCACGCCGAAATTAGATGGAGAGCACTCCACTTTTTTGTTAAATGAAACTAGTGTGCCTCACAGTGCTGTGATTTCACCATTTCTGCTTCCTTTGTTCGTTCCTCTTTTTCCTATGGATTACCATATCCTTCCTTTGAAAGACGACAATTTCATTGGGCATGCTGATGATGTGAGAATTTCTGTCCCAGTCACTTCCGCATTAGATTATCCTGAGAGGAATGGTTTCCTATCTGAGGTTAATCAATGGTCTGATTCGTTAAAATTGTCTTGTGGTGAACCTCTCCGATTATAACACTGTCATTTTGAGTTTCAGAAGTAAAGAGACACTTGTACAGACCGATTCAATCCCATGATTCTTGTAATACCTACGGTACTGCGACAAGAAGAAATTATTACAATTTCACCTTTCTTCGTGTTAGTATTTCTGTAATCCATCTGTTATCTCATATTGTGTTGACTTCTAAAAAATCTTTCGCTTGACTTATTACATTTTGAAGTTGGGACATTCTGGCATCACTCAACCTCTTCTCCTACAATTTAATACTTCAAGTACTCCACCCACACTTCTTTGCTGTTCCCCCTTCTTCCTCCTTGGGCTTGCTGACAAAAAGCTATGTTATATTATGTAGAAGTTTGAAGGCTGTATGCAGGTTTAGTGGTAGGTTTGCCCAACGCTCAACTAACTCACATTGTTGTTGATGACAGGCATTTCAAATCCATCAAACAGTTAGCTAAAGTCACTTTGCATGATGCTGGAAATCGCCTTTCTCTTCAACTTTTAAGCAGTTTATGCGGAAGCATTTAGCGTAATACTGAAACTCAACCACACTGTAGTTAGCCACGTTTTGTGTGAACAGACAAATAAATAAATATGAGAAAGAGCTTATTAAGCTTACTTTCCAATCTGCAAATTAACAGAAAATTAAAGAATAATAAGAATTATTAATTTATATTGTAATTCTCACATATAATAATTATTCTTCTACAAACATTCCAGGTTTTGCAATTTCATCGTTTTATTTGTTTATTTGGCAAAGGAGATAAATGGCTGCCATGTGCACAACGCTGAAAATTCCATTCTGAATGAAAATTGATTTCTTAGAATACAATTATTATCATAGTATATAATACAGAATCTCGACGGAGACCGATGTTTACAGTTTTGTGCCAACAGACATACAACGGAGTCTCATCCCTTTCCCTCTAAGCATTGTTTTGCATACTTTATAGTGAAGATTGTGTAGGTGACCAACTGAAACAACTGAAACAAACCTTCTTTGAGAACGGATATCCACTTCGCTTCGCAGGTGACAATAGCGAATCACGTGAATGAAATACAGAGATTGACAAGGTAGCTAAACAAGTGTTGCATCTAAACTTACATTTCAGGGTGACACTGTCAGTAAGACACCTAAAACTCGTCTGACGAGATCATTGAGGAAAGTGTTCTTGGCTGGCACTTTACGAATAGCCCTAACCCTAACCGTCCACCAGTGTACCTTAATGCCAAACAAATGTCACCTTGCTTGTCTCATTCCATGTTTATTTTTATGTTCACCTGCTCTCACGGAGTCAGATACATAGGACGCTCGTTGAAAATCATATCACACCGCCACGCTTGAGGGCACCTTACAGTTTGTCTGAGCAAAGGAGGACGTAGAGTTGTTCATTCATCGATATTGCAACATAGTGTGGATACTGACTACCACACAGCATCTGATACATCGTTCATATAGTCAACAAACTTTGACAAAGTTGGCCGAAAGGGAGCGCACGCGTGCATTTGCTGTGAACGGCAGAGTCTTTAGCAATCCATAACATGCAGCCAGAAGTTTGTGTTTGAAAGCAATTTGTACCATCTCTTTCGTTACCAAAATGTTGATTTTACTATTTGATTCACAGAGAAAATCTTTGTTATCCTTCTGGATTCCTTGTTCCAATTTTGTTGTAATTTATTTTATTTCATTTCACTTTACGCTTTCATATTTTTAACATTGCATCTAGTCTTCTACTTTGACAAGATTTCACTCATCCATCCATGTTATGTTCCCATCATACTATATTCACATTTCGTGATGTACTTTAGTTTCCTATCATCTATTTCACACTTGTCCACTGAACTTCAGGTTGACCTGTATTTATCAAGTTATTCCTTCATATGTATCTAATCGAGTGTGACTTGTAGTCCTATACATCAATATTTTCTCTCTGTCAGAATTAAACACACACACACACACACCAAAACTGACTGTTATTGTCTGTTGTCAATGAATTAAATATATGTACACGCTTGTGCAGCTATGAAAATCAAATCGTTGAAAACACGAATATATTCACCGTTGTTGATTAGTGTGTTTCCTGACAAATCTACCAGGAGAACCTATTTCGACCAGCGTATTTTCCATTTATCCAATTCCATTTTTAAAGGAGTCATCGGTTCACATCTCTTTTGTTCTGCTCGTGAGACATTTTATCAAATTGATTTTGGATTCGATTGACACGAAACCGAAGAGATGTGCACGCTATCTTAGACAAGTGGATCGTCTATCAAAATCGCTCTTCGGTGAATCATCCTCTCTCCAAGCCAATCGGACATCAAGAAATTGTAGTCTGCCATCATCATCTTCTTCCTCATAAGTGAAGATCAGAGGTGGATGTGCATCAGTCGACCT